TATGGGAAGTATAAAATAATGTTTAATGTACAAAAGTAAAATTGACTGGTAGTAAATATGGTGTTTAATAAAATTTTAGTAAGTAATAATGATTACAAAAAAAGTGAAAAAGTAATGTTTATTTCATTCAATATTGCACTGGTAGTTATACTAGAGGTTATATGGCAGTACAAGGTAATTAAGAGTACTCTAAGATAGTAAATGTGGTATAAAACAGGTAAAGGTAATTAGACAAGTAATGGTTATTATATGTCAAAAATGTTAAGAGTAAATTGAAATTATAGTAAAAATGATAATATTAATTTTAGTAGGTAATATCAATTGATAGTATTGAAAAAAAAAATGAGGTAGTAATATGGACAGAGAAAGTATCAATTCAGCTAATGTTTAAGCAAACAATAGTAAATAAGAAAATTACATAAGGTGACTTATACTTACTAGTAAAATCACAAAATGAGGTAGTTGATTATTTAAATACTAAGAGATTGTACAAAGAAATTTGAACAATAATGGAGCAAAACATACACTACGCTACGTAGGCTTTTAAGTTGGACATTGTTTAGTTATTCTCTGTAAGATCAGTATCCCTGAGAAATCATGATAGATCATTCTCGTTCGTGATTGTGTACAGTTGACCTACATTTGTTTTCCTAACAAGAATTTTCCCATCCCGTGTGAAGCATTGGTGTATTGCGTCATTATTCTCCCGCTTAAGTTTTCTGACTCTATACAGGAGGTTCTGACGTTTTTTGGTAAGACACTCGTTTATGTATACCTCTTTCTTTACTTTAATAGATGCAATAATTAAGTCTTTTTTCCTGTCATGTGAGTGGAATCTAAGCATAACACTTTTTCTACCATGGGATCCTAGTAACCTGGCTTCTTTTATTTCAGACTCTGGTACAATAACACTTGTTTGGTCCTTTATGATCTGCAGAGTAATTTCTTTACTGTTTGTTTGGTTCATATCACTGGGAAAAAGTCGTCTGATCTCCAAGGTAAATACACTTTATAAAACCAGTTTATTTTTTACATTTTCTTTTATTATGTTTGTATACAATATTTCTTATTGATAAATACATTTTTCTTATTTAGAAACCCGTAACAAAAAAATTGGGGTGTTTTTTTTGGGGTCTGGAACAGATTAATGGCATTTCGATTAATTTCAGTGAGGAAAATTGATTTGATATATGAGCAAATTGAGTTACGAGCTTGGTCACGGAATGAATTAAACTCGTGAGTCAGGGTACCACGAACAAATGAATGAACGAACAAGTGCAGGTATGATCCCAATGGGATGAGCGGGGAAGATGGGACAAAGAATAGCGCTGGAGAGGAGTGTTCTTAGTCGTAGAAAAAGAGCCAGGGCTTAACCCAGCAGCTTAAGGCAATGGTGGGACAGACTTGAGAACAGGAATAGCAGGCTCAGTTGCATTCGACTTGTAACAGTAGGTTAGTCGCAGGACGAGGTAGGCAGGGAAGATCATCAGAGGGTAGTACAGTGGACCCCTGCATAACGATTACCTCTGAATGTGACCAATTATGTAAGTGTATTTATGTAAGTGCGTTTGTACGTGTATGTTTGGGGGTCTGAAATGGACTAATCTACTTCACAATATTTCTTATGGGAACAAATTCGGTCAGTACTGGCACCTGAACATACTTCTGGAGTGAAAAAATATCGTTAACCGGGGGTCCACTGTATACTGGTGGTGGTGTTTGATGTAATTAGGGTGGCAGGTTAGTAGGAGATCCATTCTCAAATCTCTTGAAGTTGCTTCTAGAGAGGTGGTAAGGATTTGTCTTGTTTCCAAAGGTGAAGCGAAGAGGCTTGAGGATTCCAGAACTTGGGTGAGAGTGAAGTGATGAGGTTGTTCGCAGGAGAACTTGACAGTGCCTGCGCCGAGGGCTGTGTAGAGTTCACTGCAGGTCACGGTGTCAACATTTGATGGTGCAGTGTAAAACTCCCAAGTTGGTGTAGTAAAGTTGTCGATATCTTCTTCTTGAGACATGTACTCATTTGACGAGTCTGTCTTGGTAGAAGCAGGTGAGTGAGGGTCGGTAGCATTAGTGGAGAGGTGTATTGGTGGAGTAGTATCAGGTTTGGGGGCAGTGCTCCAGGCAGCTAGAGCAGTGGTACAGGAAGTTGTGACATCTGCTTGGGGAGGAGACAGGTTGGCTGGAGTAGTGAAGTTGATAATGTTTGGAAGAATTCTGATGTCAGCTGATGGTGGAGAGTCAGGAAACGTAAAGGCTGGCATATTGTAGAGACAAAAGATTTCATTTATGGAGGCGTTGAAGGTGCCAGGGTTGGCTGCACTGGCTAGATGAGTGTACAACATACAATATAACACCTTTGAAGGAGCTGCTTCAGGAAGTGGAGATAGTGAAGTGCTGAGTAGAGATGGTTGTTGTGTTGATTGTAAGATTTTCTTGGTATCCATCTGCAATTTAGTGATGGCGGCGAATGTTGGTGATTTCTGGTTGTACTTCTCTTCTTCTTATATCTTCTGGGAGCGTACATCTTTTCATAGAAGACATTTTGCTGCAGGGTATGATGAGTACCCTTGCAGTTGAGGCAGGTAGGAGTGGTAATGGTGGTGGAACATTCTGTGGAGTTATGGCCGTCTTTTCCACAGTTGGTACAGTAATTCTTTCCTTTCAGGGGAGTGTCAGGTGTCGTGTGGTTGTATGAGTAGCAGGTCCAGCATGGGGAGACATGAGCAAAATGCTCTGGCTTGATGTGTCTGCGATGGATGTGGAAGTAAGAGATAGCTAGGCCATCAAACAATGCTCTGATAGCCACGTCGATGTTGAGGAGGTGAGCTTGATCATTGTAGAAGCGTTTGGAATTTTAGTGATGTTATCAATCAAGGCCCAAGTGTTTTGTTCCTCGATAGAGGTCTTAAGGTCTGCAGTCAATAGGGAAGCGATAAGCTTGTCCAACCGTTTGACAAAAACGGAAAGTTTTGCCAGCAGGAAGGGTGAAGGGGACACGGTGAACTGTCAGTCACTGAGAGTCTTCACAGAGGTGTCGTCCATCAATTTAGAAGCTTCATGATGACAATGAAGGAGTCTTTCACTGAGCGGATAGCTGTAAATTTAACCTGCAGTGGCAGCAAGAGCAAGCTTTGCAGCGTCATTGATTACTCCACTGGTAGGCTTGATCTTTACACGATGGGCAAGCATCATGAAAGAGTAGATGTGGTGATGATGTCAGATCGAGGAGGTGTGGATGATTGGCGCTGTACATACACATACAGGTCTCCCTCAACATTCACGTTTTCAACTTTCACGGGCTTCACACACATTCGCGAATTCCCAACCGCCAAATTCCCAGCCACCAAATTCCCAGCCGCCAAATCATATTTAAGTTTCCCGCCACCTGCGAGTCCCTACTACCCTCCCTCCAACCCCCGCAACTGGCAGCCAGCCCTCCCACCACTCAGTGTGGTGAGTGTTTTGTTTATTCACTATTTGCTATTAAACTACAGTATAAATAATGTAAACCCATTCATGACTGCATATTGGAATGGCTATTCGAACAGGTATTAGACGGTGACATCATGTGTTTACTCTTTAACACTGCAAAGAATTAAACATTTCTGCTACAGCTAATAATAACAATAGTAGTAGTAATAATAATAATAATAATAATAATAATAATAATAATAATAATAATAATAATAATAATAAATATGATATAATTGAAGAAGGAAATTGTACAAAAATACGAGAGAGTGGTTGACACATCGTCAGTGTGACTTTGTTTATGCTGGAGTGAACATTAGTCTCCCTGCTCTTCCAAACATTTCACAATAATTCATTGTGTTTGGTGCTTGTAGATTGAGTGTGACTGGAGTGGTAGAGGCAGTGATTGAGGCAATGGTATTTAATAACATACATGTTAATAATAATACATGTTATTAATAATATGTACTATTATTATTTATAACATATATGTTATTAAATACATACATGTTAATAATAATACATGTTATTAATAATAACATGTACTATTATTATTTATAACATATATGTTATTAAATACCACTGCCTCAACCGCTGAATTATTGTGAAATGTTTGGAAGAGCAGGGAGACTAATGTTCACTCCAGCATAAACAAAGTCACACTGACGATGTGTCAACCACTCCCTCGTATTTTTGTACAATTTCCTTCTTCAATTATATCGTATTTATTATTATTATTATTATTATTATTATTATTATTATTATTATTATTATTATTATTATTATTATTATTATTATTATTATTGTTATTATTATTATTATTGTTATTATTAGCAATAGCAGAAATGTTCGATTCTTTGCAGTTCAAGAGTAAACACATGATGTCACCGTCTAATACCTTTCCTAATAGCCGTTCCAATATGCAGTCATGGATGAGTTTACATTATTTATTCTGTAGTTTTATAGCAAATAATGAACAAACAAAACACTCACCACACTGAGTGGTGGGAGGGCTGGCTGCCAGTTGTGGGGGTCGGAGGGAGGGTAGTAGGGACTCGCAGTGGTGGAGGCAGTGGTGGAGTCTGTGTTATTTAATAACATACATGTTATTAAATAACATATGTTATTAAAGCATAACATGCATATATTTAGTACAATTTACGACGTTTTCATGTATTTTATGATTATTCATGGTTCAACAAGTTAAGGAAGCAGTATTGTAATATATTTCCCTACAATATATTGGGGCACCAAACATTCACAGTTTTTCAACATTCGCGAGGCTCTTGATCCCCTAACCCTCGCAAATGTTGAGGGAGACCTGTATATAAACAGATAAACGTGTATTTACAAAATGAAAACACAATGCAATAAAACACCAATTAACCTAATACATGGCAAACCAACTTTCATAAAAAATCTGTTAAAATAAATGAATATTTAATTCTCTAAGATACCTTTCAGCTTTATTCAACTTTTATTGTTTTTTTAGACAGATTTACATCTCATGTAATGATAAATATACTCACTGGGTTCCACTCTACAGAACACTCTAAGAGGATCTCTGGGTTATTTCCTTTGGCTCTTGCTCTGAGTTTCTTATCCTTTAAGGCATACCTGGAAGTAATATAGAATTAATTAGAAATCTAGAATGAATTATATTGTATGTGAAATTTCTGAGCCTAATATTATCAACAATGGATTTTTTTCTTACAATCAAGTGCAATAATTAATTATCAATACCAACAGACTGGATATGATTACCAGTAGTAGCAAACTCACAATACTAAGACAAAACAGTCTTTAATTCTTATAAAACTTATTTGGATGTTCATCCATTTATCTGGATGTTAACCCATTTATTTACAATAAATTGGTTAACAATCTGCCTGTTTACAGTACACAAATAACCCGCACATAGAAAAGAGGAGCTTATGAATGTGTAAATGGTCCAGGTCAGACCGAAACGTTGTGGTAAGCTCCTTTCTCCTGTGTGCGGGTTATGTGTGTATTGTTCCAGTCACAGTATTGTGCCTTTTGTTCTTTGCCTGTTTACAGATCATGATACAGTTTGGAGATTACAATTTTTGTATGTTCTAAGGAAAGCCCCTAATTATATGAAGTTTATACAACACTATGTAAAACTTAAAATGAATTTACTATGCATTACATCCCTGAGATAATGTTAATGAAGTATGCTATGACTACATAAACAAGTATTCTCTTTAACAGTATTAAAAAAACCTTAACTTTTTAATTGTGTCTAACATACTAGTACGCAGGTGGCAACTGTGTCCGATGAACTAGAATGCACAAGTTTTCATGCCTTCATATATACCACCTGCCAGTTCAACTATCTGGGTCCCCTACACCCTCTTCAAGCCTTTGAAAAAACCTAAGACCAGGTAAGTCCTCACAGTGCACCGTGGAGTAATACTGCCTAACTACCATAAGCAGACAATGAAACCAGGACTTCTTGTTCCACCACCAACTTTCCTACCAGCAAAGAGGGTGTGGAACTCCCAGGAAGATGCCTTATTCATTCCAAATTAATTACAATTTCATAATACTAAAATGAAATTCAGACCAAAAAACACACCATGTAGATTTAACCTATGATAACCCAATATAGTCAAACACTGACTTATTTCCATGTTTCCATGAGTAGTACACCTTGAAATAATTATTCCTCTAATATATGTTTTACAGTCGTCTGGAAGGTACAGAGGTGTTAAGGATACACAGAAATTACATTATGTATGCTTATATAACTCAAAATATTTCCTCAAACCTAAATAGTGCATATAGTAACAAATAATTAATGTAGGAAAACCCAATATAATCAAACAATGTGACTTATTTCTGAGGAGTATTACTCTTTCAAACAATTATAATATCATAGATATTTCCTGTACATAGTGTTAGAATACTAAAGCAGAAAAAATAGAAAAAGCAATTATTTGCTCCAATTTGTACTGTATATTGACAGTGAAGCAAAGTTGAGCTATGCATCTACCCATGTCTGAAATACTAAAACCATTTGAAACACATCTAATATCATAAGAAACTAGTGTACTTAGTGTTAAACAGTGAAAAAAATAAAAAACTGATAAATAATCTTAATTTGGCATCAGTAAATTTTACAACACAAATATCATTGGGATATTTATGCTGCTGTTGCTGACAAGGGATGATTTTTTGCCAAATTCAATACACTATAAAATCTTAAATTTTTTTTACCAGATTCCACTCGTTTTAGTCTTAACTGATTTATAAAAATGCACTCTGTCAATCTGTTAGATTTTATTTTTTATTTTTTTTCAAAATCTTGCTGAACCCCCCCCCCCCCAAACACACACACAAATTTTAAATTTTGGCATAGCCACAGTTCAGGGGTTAAAACCTCATGGTTTTATACATAATTAATTATGAAAAACACCCACTGATTTAGTCACAAATAAGTGAAGCAGAATATCACTAAAAAATAGTCACAATACTGTGGCTGGAACAATACAGAAATATGTAACCCACGTTCAGAAGACAAACTTATGACGACGTTTCAGTCCAACTGGTGAATGGTCCAATTCAGACTGAAAGTTGTCATAAGTTTCAGTCTCTTATGTGCAGGTTATTTGTATACAGCATATCACTATATACAACCACAAGAAACAATAAATGCATAAAAACAATGGCTGAAGCATCAGAAACAAGTGGAAGATCTATATAACTAAGATCTACACAACCTATGATCTAACACATCAAACACAAATGCAGAGAACTAAGGGACAAATTAAATGAACTATGCAGCATGCATCAAGCTTCTTCATACCGTCATTGGATGTTGGTCCTGGTCTGGTGACAGTATTTTAAATGACATTTGCATGAGAGCTAATAGAAACAAAGAAAAAACAAAAACAAACAAACAAAAAAAAAAGGCCCTCCACCTCTCATGTGCACACAACACTGCACTTATGTGCCAGATCTATGGCACTAAGTGGGGGGCAGATCGAGACCTTCTCCTTAGATTCTATACAGCTATGGTTCGCAGCAAGCTCGCCTATGCGAGTGAGGTGTATGGCTCGGCCTCTTCCTCCTCTCTTCGCCACCTAGACATTCTCCAGAATTCGGCCATCCGCAGTATGCTGGGGGCGTTCCCCTCCGCCCCCACTGCAGCCTTGGAAGCAGAGTCTGGGACAGTCTCCCTCTTGTCGGTGAGAACAGCGAGGGACTGTTTATGACTCCATCATATGGCCTCTGCCTTGTACTCACCCCTGCCGCCTCTCTCCACAGATGTGGGAGATAGTCTCTGTCCCCCCACGTTTGGTTCAGCCTTCCTTTGTGGCCAGGCCCTAGCATTCCCTGGCCTGCCTCACACGCCCTGCACCTGTGATGACTCCCTCCCTTCTCCACTCTCCGGTCCTCCCCTGGATGGACCTGATGTGGTAAATCCACCTGGATTGGCCTTACAGAAACAAGAAACCCCCTCAGTTAGCTGCATTTCTATTTAAAGAGTTTCATTCTGTCACACATGGTTCTTCATTCTCCATCTACACAGACGGCTCAGCATGGACCTCCCCCCTTCTACATCTTCTGCGGCCTTCTTCGCTAATCTCTCCCTGTGTCAAACCTGGCAGTTTGATCCTGCTCACTCAGTCCTGGCAGGGGAGCACTTCACCATTCACCAGGCTCTGGTTTTTGTCCTAGCTCACCTTCCCCTTCAGCCTTTGGTTCTCTTCTCTGATTCCCAACCCTCCCTGGCACTTTTGTGCTCTGCCTGTCCACAGTCTCTATGCGTCCTCGTCTGTCAGACGCAATCTCTTCTTCTGCCTTTCTTGTGAAGCCCAGGTTGGAGCATCTCCCTTCAGTGGGTACCTGCCCATGTTGGCATCTGGGGCAATGAAGTGGCGGATCGAGCGGCCTTCCTTGCACACACACTTCCTACCATTACCCCTCTCGCACTGGGCCGCAGTGATTTCACAAGGACTGTTTGGAGGGAAATCCGCCATTTGTGGCAGGAGGGCCTGGTATGTTCCCTCTCTTCTTCGGCATGGAGCTCTGTCCGATCTTTCAATGGCCCCTGCCCTTGGGCTTGCCATCCCAATCACTCAGTGGATGTTGCGCTGACTTGCCTCCAGGTCGGGCACTCACAACTGGCAGCTCATCTGTACTGCCTTTGGATGACGGACTCTCCGTACTGTCCCTCACAGCCTGAGATGGTGGAACACTTCCTGCTGTGGTGCCCACGTTATCACTCTGCATGGACTATTCTCCGTGCGGCCTTGCGCACGTTTGGGGTGCACTCTTTAACTCTACCTCTCCTTCTCAATGGAGAGGGGTTTAGCCCTCTGGATCATCAGGAGATCTTGGCCTGTACCTGCTCATTCTTGCTGGCTTCAGGGACACATAATATGCAGTTATTAGTCACACATCCTTCCACTTTGGTCGAGGTTCCTTCTGCGAGCACTGGAAGGCCAGGCTTGATATGGCATATGCTGTCAGTGGCCCTATAAACCCCAACAACAACAACAAGAAAAAATTAAACATATAATCTCAACAGCATGTCAAAGCACTCAAATTGGGTAGACATTCTCATTTTCATATTATTTTTGTAGTCCCTAAATATTTTAGTTGATTTAATTCATGCAATACTACCTAGGGTTACACAATTCCTTGCAAAGTATACATTGTGAATTTTTGAAAAATTTCTAGATTAAGAGACATGGGTAGACTTATAGAATCAACAACACAAAATGATACATATAATACATCAAAACCAACATATCTATGCAATAGACTGAACTAAAGTAGCAGGTATCCTTAAAACCAGATAAAACCATACATAGGTGCCTAGAAACAACAGTAACCATTCATAGGTCTCGAGTCAGAGAGCAAAGAAAGGACCTTTCCAGACTGCATCATCAATGACCTCACATATACAGGCAGAAATATTAAAAACCTCTAAACTTGAAGAAAGTAAGTTACAATATTTACAAAACACTGACCTAAGAGGTAATTCAGTGCTTCTGACAATCAAGAGAGAGATACAGGCAGGCCCTGCATATGCAGGTTAGGTTCTGGGACTACTGCTGTAAAGTGAAACAGATTTTTCTCACTTTCAAATGCATATAAAAGCCTGATAACATATTGTGATGAATGGTTTTGAAAACCGACAAGTTGAAAAATTGAGACACTAATGCAACATATGGGAATCTTTATTGAAGAAAAGCTTTGCCACAAAGTGGCTTCATCAATCCAATACAAAGCAAGAAGGTGTGTTCAGTCCATCACTCTTGTAGGAAGTACAGCATAGGGCCAGAGAGGTGGCTTATATACTGCAGTCAGGTGAGTCGAAGGAGGAGGAGGCGGGATCACAGTGGGACCATCCAATACTTACACTAGTTTAAGTAGGTCTGCAGACCTACTTACACTAGTGGATGGTCCCAATGTGATCTCGCCTCCTCCTCCTTCGACTCACCTGACTGCAGTATATAAGCCACCTCTCTGCCCCTATGCTGTACTTCCTACAAGAGTGATGGACTGAACACATCGATTCCAGGCTGAGGGACTGATTACCTCAAACTCCTCCTCCCCTTATACCTTCCTGCTTTGTACTGGAC